CCAAATTCTCGACAAAAATCAACAACCCATCGCTTGTCGTGCACTCATCGACACGTGTGCCACAACCAATTTCATCACCGATGACTTGGCTAAAAAACTCAAGATTCCATACAATAACTGCTGCATTCCCATTGGAGCCCTTAACGACTTGTCAACAATAGCGAAACGATCTGTTGCTACCACCATCCAGTCAAAAGATCGCACCTATCAACGCGCACTAACTTTTCTCACCATTCCGTGCATTTCATCGTCTCTTCCTGATCAGCCCATTGATCGTTCAGCCATTATGATCCCGCGAAACATCAAGCTCGCGGACCCCGCCTTTCACAGTCCAGCTCCAGTCGACCTTCTACTTGGTGCTGGAGTGGCCCTCTCGCTATTAAGTGTCGGCCAGGTAAATCTATCATCCCCCGCGGGTCCAGACTTGTATCTGCAGAAGACGAGACTGGGCTGGGTCATCGGAGGAAGCGCACCATCTGAGCGCCCAGTCCGTGGCTCTTCATGCCACACATCCGCCACTCTTCAATTTGATCTCGCCCGATTCTGGGAAATTGAAGAAGGACCTCAAGCCTCACATCTGTCTGACGCAGACAGGATGTGCGAGGCACATTTCAAAGAAAACACCATTCGCACCACCGACGGCAGATATGTGGTAGCTCTCCCTTTCAACCAACAGCAAAACCAATTGGGGGAATCCAAATCAGGAGCCCTCAAGAGATTTTTATCTCTCGAACGGAAACTACAACGAGACCCGAGTCTGAAACATGCCTATCATGCGGTCATCCAAGAATATCTCGATCTCGGGCACATGTCGAAAATTCCGAATGATCAGCTTTTAACACACAATTGTTATTATTTGCCCCACCACGGAGTCACAAAATTTACAAGTCAGACAACAAAATTAAGAGTAGTATTCGACGGATCAGCAACCACAACTTCAGGAATTTCTCTCAACGATACATTGTACACCGGTCCAAAAATCCAAGATGATCTTCTATACATCCTGTTACGTTTTCGGATACACCGCTATGTGCTCACAGGCGACATCGAAAAAATGTATCGACAATTCTTCGTTCGTCAAGAAGACCGAAAATACCAGCGCATTCTTTGGCGTGACTCGTCCGGGAAAATCAACACCTACCAATTGAACACAGTCACATTCGGATTGTCTGCTGCTCCCTATCTCGCCATTCGTTGTCTGACTCAGCTCGCCCGTGACGAAGGCCACCGATTTCCGCTCGCATCAAAAATTCTTACTCGCGACTTTTATGTGGATGATGCACTTACTGGAGCATCGACAGTACAAGAAACTCTCCACATAAGAGACGAGCTCACACAGGTCCTAAAATCTGCAGGGTTACACGTCCGACAGTGGGCATCAAATGACAGGTCTCTACTGCAGGGCTTGTCAACCCAGGACATCAACAAGCAACTCCATCTCGGGGAATCGGACACATTCAAAACTCTCGGGATCGTCTGGAACTCTTCAGACGACTCCATCGCGTACTCGGTTAAAACCCTGTCCTCCACGCATCACGTTACCAAACGATCTATTAGTTCGGAAACAGCTCGAATCTACGATCCATTAGGCCTCCTGGCGCCCGTTATCATCACGGCCAAGATCATGCTTCAGAAGATTTGGACCATGAAGATCGATTGGGATGAATCCCTACCTATGTCCATTCACACCGAATGGATGCAATATTATAGACAGTTACCTGTGCTGAACGATATAACTTTCAATAGAAAGACCGTTATCGACTCCGCGATCAAGACCGAACTACATGGATTCTGCGATGCCAGCGAGAGGGCCTATGGTGCTTGCCTCTACCTCCGGTCAGTCGACGCCAATGGAAATGTCCGAACGAACATCCTTATCGCAAAATCCAAAGTAGCTCCATTGAAAACACAAACCATCCCACGTCTCGAACTCTGCGGAGCCCTTCTTTTATCTTCTCTAGCAACAACGGTGCAACGAGCATTACACATAACTGTCGATCGCACCATCTTCTGGACCGATTCCACAATTGTCCTTCACTGGTTGGAATCCTCTCCCCATCTGTTGAAAACCTTTGTCGCGAATAGGGTGTCAGAAATACAAAATAAAACCAACATCGCGAACTGGCGACATGTCCCTACGAACGACAATCCAGCTGATCTCATATCCCGAGGCCAGTCTCCAGAGGAATTCCTCCGCCCATCCATTTGGACGTATGGACCAGAATGGCTTTGCAAAGACGAAACTCATTGGCCAACGTGGGAGATGACCATCCCGAGCGTTCTTCCCGAGCAGAAGGCCACCTTGTGTCTGACCACTACTCATGTGGATATCCCTATCCTAGAAAGATACTCGTCATGGGAAAAAATGCGTCGGATCACCGCCCGCTGTCTCCGATGGAGGCGGATCAGCACCACGAAGGGCCCTCTTACATCAACAGAGATCAATTACGCACACAATGTCATCATCAAACTCATCCAACGGTTACATTTTACCAAGGAACTTCAACAAATCAGGAACAATCGAACCCACACAATTAAAGGCAAGCTTCAACGTCTAAGCCCGTTCGTGGATCAAAATGGAATATTACGGGTCGGCGGTCGATTAAAGCATTCTCCAATGCCATTCCATCAGAAACACCCGATCATACTGCCCAAAACAAATACAACCAGACTAATAATCGAAAGCGAGCATCGCGCTCAACTGCATGCAGGCGTGCAAGCCACTCTGTATGCAGTTAGAATAAAATATTGGCCCATAGACGGTAGAAGCCAGGTATGGCAAACACTGAAACATTGTGCACGCTGCTGTCGAGCTCACCCACCTCCTGTGGAGTACATCATGGGTGACCTACCGAAAGCGAGAGTCACAGAAACCGGTCCATTTACGAACACCGGGGTCGATTACTGTGGACCGTTCTTTATCAAGGAAAGAAATCATCGAAATCGCAAGCGTGTGAAGGTCTATGTGGCTGTTTTTGTTTGCCTCGCAATCAAGGCAGTACATCTGGAAGTTGTGAGTGATTTGACGACTGAAGCTTTTATCGCGGCACTTCGACGCTTCATCGCGAGAAGGGGTTTTTGCAGCAACCTATACTCTGACAACGGAACAAATTTCGTTGGGGCAAACAACGAATTGCGTGAACTTCGCGAACTCCTCCAATCAGACGACCATCACGAGAAGGTTCAACATTTTCTTACAGACCGAGCCATCGACTGGCACTTCATCCCACCGCGTACTCCACACTTTGGTGGCTTATGGGAAGCCGCGGTGAAATCATTCAAGTATCACTTAAAACGCGTCGCAGGGGCAGAACTCTTTACCTTTGAAAAATTTAACACCTTAATTACAGAAATTGAATCCATCCTAAACTCTCGTCCTCTAACTCCCATATCATCAGATCCTAATGACCTCCTCGTCCTCACCCCCGGCCATTTCCTGATCGGCGATTCATTAACCTGTGTGCGTGAGCGAGATTTCAGGGACACCTCAACCAACCGCCTCTCCAGCTGGCAACAAATACAGAAGGTTAAGCAGCACTTCTGGACTAGATGGCATCGCGAATACCTCAACGAGCTGACCACCCGAAGCAAATGGACCAGCTCCTCACCTACCATCAAGAAGGGCACCATCGTCCTCCTGAGAGAAGACAATGTACCCTCGATGCAATGGCCTCTCGGCAGAGTGGTCAAGGTCCATCCAGGCGCCGACGGCATAGTTCGCGTGGCCACGGTGAAGACTGCCACCACCGTTCTCGAGCGGAACGTTCGGAAATTGGTACCGCTGCCCATGCAAGTAGATAAGGACGACAACAGTGAGCAACCATCCGCCAGCGAGCATCCATCCGCCAGCGAGCAGACATCATGCAACCAGTAGCATCCAGCGATCACCTCCGTTCCACATTTTCAAACGCGGATCAATACCCGCATTTGAACACTCATCATTTTATTAACAATTTAATTAACTACGTGTCATTATTTTAAGGTTGATCGGTACCCTCTCAACGGGGGGAGCATGTTCCGCCCGGTCAACTCGGGTTTTTCCGCTTTTTATGGTGCCAGATGCGGAACCGTGATTCAGTCGAAAAGTCTTCGAATATTCCGCATCTGGCAAATGTCATCGTAAAGTAATCGAATTGCCTCGTCGAACGAAAATACTAGACCTGAGTTGACCAGCGAAGAGCTATATTGTTCCGCGGGTGGTCCGGTCTTCGAGGCCAACGTCGGCCGACCGGCAACGACCATTGCCAACCCGTGGAACAATATAGCCATAAAACAGCTGTACAACACGTGCGGAAACTCAGCGCTTCCTAATCCGGAGTCCCGTTTTTTCTTTTCCTAAGCAAAATTACCGCGGCCTTCGACTTGGGGAGGACACCGCGGTCACCCTCTTCCAGGGTGACCTGGGACTCCTCCTTCACCACGGTTGGGTGTGAGGGAGGAGTTTTCCTCCCACTCGGGGCAGGAAAGTGGATCCTCCTTCCCCAAGTCGATGGCCAATCAATCGAATCACAAGGTCAACGCAAAAATCAGTTAACACCCTCAAAATAGTGTGTCGGAGGGGGTTTTGAGCTGAGGAGGAACGGGCTCCGGAAAGATCGCGACACTCTTGAATCAATCGTGCAGTCAAAAGCATCTCGTAGATATTTCAACTTACCATCTCTATCCCGTAACACGGTTAGAGAAGTACGGATTCGCGAATTCTAGAAACCTAGAGTCGAAGCTTTACAACCTTCGACGACTCTGAGACATCGGTCGTTCGCGAAGCGTACGAAAACACGCTCAACGCGGAGTCGCAGTCCTGCAATGTAGTCACGAATGATCAATTAAATTCACAATTAACTCGATTTTGGGATATCGAACAAATCCCAACACTCGGTCACCTTCCAGCTCACCCGTGCGAGGAGCATTTTAATGAGACGGTAAAGCGAGACTCCGACGGCCGGTTTATTGTTACGATTCCGTTTAACTCGGACCTGGCAAAGCTCGGCGATTCATATTCCATGGCGGAGCGTAGGTTCTTCGGCTTGGAAAGAAAATTGAACAGGACACCTGTTCTGAAAGCAGAATACGTGTCCTTTATGAGCGAATACCTCGCACTGGGTCATATGACTCAGGTAAGTCGGGACTCTCGAACGCAGGCCGGTCCTGCCTATTACCTGCCACACCATGCGGTGACAAAGGCAGCAAGCACAACGACCAAGATGCGCGTTGTATTTGACGGATCCGCGAAAACCAGTTCCGGATATTCTTTAAATGATACTCAAGAGATCGGTCCTGTTGTTCAGGACGATCTATTTTCCATACTCATTAGATTCAGACAGCATCAGATTATTTTGAGCGCCGACATCGCCAAGATGTATCGGCAGATTTTAGTCGCTCCCGAGCAGCGAGTTTTTCAACGGATTCTATGGCGCGAAGAACCTACGCTCCCATTAGAAACGTACGAATTGAATACGGTTACATACGGCACTGCGTCCGCGCCGTTTTTAGCGACCTGCGTCCTTCGGCAAATTGGATTGGATCAGTCTCATCTAGATCCAGTAATAAGTAATATCATCATCCACGACTTCTACGTGGATGACTTGCTAACGGGCGCGGAAACAGTAGAACAAGCAATAAAAATTAATTCCGAGTTCCATGATTTTTATGCGGACCTCAGGTCATTAACACGGCTCGCAATTCCTCGGTGCGTATTGTGCCCGAATCCTGTGCAGGTAGAGATGCATGGGTTTTGCGATGCCTCCGAACGGGCATTTGGGGCGTGCATCTACCTGCGCACGATTTCAGAAACGGGCAAAGCATTGACCCAGCTCCTCTGCGCAAAGACACGCGTGGCACCGCTTAAAACAATAAGCCTTCCTCGCTTGGAATTATGTGGTGCATTATTACTAGCGCAACTTGTGAATAAGGTTCGAGTAGCGTCCCGCAGTCAAAAGGTCCAAGAATTCTATTGGACCGATTCAATGATAGCACTAGCGTGGATCAAGGGGTCCCCGAACCGATGGAAAACCTTTGTAGCGAACAGGGTTTCTGAAATTCAAACACTTTCGACGGGACCATGGAACCACGTACTTTCTGGGGGCAACCCAGCTGATTTATTGTCGCGGGGAGTCAAGCCTTCCGCTTTGGACAAGCTATCTTTTTGGTGGAACGGTCCATCATGGCTCGCACAGCCATCAACGGAATGGCCAATCACTGGGTCTATCCCAGCAGAAGTTCCTGAAGAAAGGGCCATTTCTTGTATTGTAATAAGGGAAATCGCATCCCAAGTACCGGGGTTCCTATTAAAATTCTCAAACTACACACGTTTGCTCCGTGTGATTGCGTACTGCTTAAAATTCTATCACACAGTAAAACATAGAGTGAGTCTTCGTAACAATCGCACCACTCGCCCGTGGAGCACTCAATTGACGGTGCAGGATCTTGATCTTGCAGAGGTAGTCATCCTCCGATTAGTACAAGGTAATGCATTTACGCAAGAACTGTCTGACTTGCGTAAAAACCAAACAGTGACATCCAATAGCCCGCTGCGGTCATTAAACCCATTTATTGACGACAAGGGGCTCATTAGGGTGGGCGGTAGGCTTGCCAATGCGGAGCTAAAATACTACCAACAACACCAAGTGATTCTACCGAAGAATCACCATGTCACGCGAATGATTATTCGTCGTGCACATGAACGCGTTTTACATGCCGGTTGCGAAACGGTATTATCAATGGTTCGAACGCGGTATTGGCCATTGACGGGACGCAATCTGACCAAGGGGATAATCCGAACCTGCGTTAAATGTAATAGAGCTGCGCCAAAGGGTACCAGCTATCTGATGGGGCAGTTGCCTGCACCGAGAATACGAATAAGACCGCCGTTCTTTTCTACCGGTGTCGATTACGCGGGTCCTTTCTACCTGAAAGAAAGGGTCCGTAGCAAGACGACGACTAAAGCCTACCTTTGCGTGTTTATTTGCTTAGCCACAAAGGCCGTCCATTTAGAAGTAGCTTCAGATTTATCGACGGATGCCTTTTTAAATGCGTTGAAACGGTTTGTTGCGCGAAGAGGCCGGTGTCGCGAAATATATTCAGACAACGGCACCAATTTTGTAGGAGCACGCAATGAAATGCAGAGAATCAAAGAGTTCTTTGCAGACCAAAAACGAAGGGATACCCTCTCTGAATTTACGGTCACTGAGGGTATGCAGTGGCATTTTATCCCACCATACTCTCCACATTTCGGGGGATTGTGGGAGAGCTGCGTGAAGTCCGCGAAACGGCCTTTGACTCGAGTCGTTGGGGAAACTCGGCAAACATTTGAAGAACTGGCCACTGTTCTGGCGCAGATAGAGGCGTGTTTGAATTCTCGGCCACTATGTCCTGTATCAACCGATCCCACAGATCTGAATCCCCTCACTCCTGGTCACTTCCTCACCGGCAGCCCACTCATGGACCTTCCATATCCTGACGTCACTGACGTCAAACCTACTCGTTTAAGTCGGTTTCAGCTACTCCAAGCAATGTCGCAGCACTTTTGGAAACGGTGGCAGTTGGAATACCTCCATCAGCTGCAACAGCGACATAAATGGAAAATCGCTGTACCAGAAGGATTCGGAGTGGGCACGATGGTCGTCATCAAAGACGCTAGTCTCCCTCCTCTAAGATGGAAACTAGGAAGAATCACGGCTCTACACCCAGGCACTGACCAGATCACCAGAGTCGTTTCCATCCGGACAGCCGATGGAGTCATAAAGCGACCTGTGGCAAAAATTTGCATTTTGCCTACGGAGGATGAAAGTTCATCCCCAAAGGATCAGCCTGGATCGAGTGTTAATCGTGACACAAAAAAAAATGAATCCGCGGCAGCCGAGCCTGCATGTGTATAAACTTTCTCAATGTTAAGTGTAGTAGAATATTTAGATTTACGTTGCAAGATCATCAACCATTGTACCATTTGTAAATAGTAGCTTAGGATGCCTTGCAATCGAATTAGATATAGATATGTGTTAAACTAGTACACTACCACTGTTGTTTGTTCCATGTTTTTGGTATTTATTGATATTTCTTTTGAACGACAGCCGTTCAAGGTGGGCGGCATGTTCGGTAAACGAAAGCTCGCTCATTCCGCTGGCCAACTCGAGTTGTTTCCGGTCCTTTATGTTGCCAGATGCGGGATCGGTACTACGTTGCAAACGTCTTCGAGTCTCTCGCATCTGGCAAATGTCAATGTAAAAGAATAGCATTTTTGGAAAACGAAAGAAACGCGACACTCGAGTTGACCAGCGAAGGGCTATATTGTTCCGCGGGTGGTACGGTCGTCGAGGCCAAATGTAGGCACCGACGACAACGGCCATCGCCGACACGCGGAACAATATAGCCATAAAAACAGACGTAGACCAGACGCAACCCCTTGTTGCGTGGATAATCCGGAGTTCCGTTTCTTCCTCGATAAATTAACGCGGCCGTCGACTTGGGGAGGAAACCTCGGCCACCCTCGCCAGCGTGGCCTGGGACTTTCCTCCACCACCGAGGTGAAGGAGGAGCTTGCTGCCAAACTGGGGCAGGAAAATGGGTCCTCCTCTCCCAAGTCGATGGCCAATCAATCGACTCACGATTCCACAGAGGAATTTGCAAAACACCCCCAAGTGTACCTCTTGGAGGGGATCTAAGCTGAGGAGGAAACGGACTCCGGACACATTGGGCATTCTAGTTTCAGTCGTCAACCGACAAACCAGTTTCAATTCTCGGTTCAGTCGTTAACCGACTAAGTCTAACAAGTCTAACTAACAAGTCTGTAACAGTACAGCAGTTTTACTTGAGTTGAACGCATTTTGATAAAGTAAGCGCGGGGGAAACAGTTCCTCCCACAGTTCAACGCGCTTGAAAACATTCATACAGTCCACTTTGTTATTATTAAAAATAAACCATTTGAAACCTCTCCAACACGACGACATCGCATCACTCCAATCCGACCTACAACATTTCGGGCGCGAACATTGATCCGGCTCGAAGGACCACAATGTTTGTCAGTAACTTCAGTACGCGTTCGGAGATGGTAAATGAAGGAATTTCAATTTCATTGAAACAGTGTACCGTGTAATTGTTTCTGGTGCTTATAAATAGATATTCATATTCTCCTTTAAACGGTTGAAGTATGTTTACAAGCATTATTATTGTAAGAGGGGAATTTTATGATCGCCGGATCTTACGCCACTTGATTTCTTTCTGTGGGGGCACCTAAAAAATACAGTTTACAATGATATTCCCACAACAGCAGAAAACATGCGACAAAGGATTCTACATGCATGTAGATCAATTACTGTAGAACAACTGAAAAATGTTCAGCAAGAATTTATTTACTGCCTCCAAAAATGTATCCAGGTTCATGGTGCACATTTTGAACACCTTCTAAAATAAACATTTAATTTAAGACTGTTTCAATGAAATTGAAATTCCTTCATTTACCGTCTCCGAACGCGTACTGAAGTTACTGACAAACATTTCATAATTCCTTCGCTAAAGGTCACGTGAAGGTCAACATATCGCACATCGTTGGATTCGTCTTTTTATAAGCTATAAGACTGTTGTAGCGAAAATATGTGGTCCCATTTAAAAAAAATACGATGACCTTGAAATCTCGAAAAAAATGACCTTGAAAAAAAAATTCGATCCATCACCCTATTGGCGCCTTCGAACAGAATACTTTCTCCCCTTGACTTTTTTTTCTATCATACAAAATAAGCGATATATTTAAGGTGGTCAAGTTAGGTGAAATACCCTGTAGAAAGGATGTCTCTTCTAACCGTAATGGAAATAAAGTGTAGCGTTTATTGACAGGAAATCTGAGTACTTTATTTAATAGCCAATTTCTAAAAGAAGGGACGATGGAAGAAAGCTCCCAGTCCGTAAAAGACACGTTCCCGGCCAGTCTGTCATAGACATCCCAGTCTGGTAAAGACGTAGTCACGTTAGTAAAGACAGTTTGGTAACAACATTAACCTACGTGTGGCTACACGCCCACACCCGCGGAAATAAACATTTGAATAATTGTTGGGGTAGATCATGGGATCGTTATTTGAACCCCCAGCCCAATCAAGTTCCTCCGGACTTGGAGAACTAGTTTTTATAGACGGTATTATGGATAAATTTGTATATTTAAATATTTTGAAACAAAACTTAAAAAAAATGTAGACAAATCAAATCTTGGGGAAAACTACTATTTCCAACAAGATCATGATCCCAAGCATACTGCTCATATTGTCCGCCAATAGATCGTTTTTAATATACCCCATACATTGCCAACCCCCCCTCAATCGCCGGATTTAAATCCGATTGAACACATATGGAATGAGTTTGGAAGAAGGATCCGAAAACACCTTATTCAAACAAAGAAGCAATTAAAAGATGCACTTATGAAGGAATGGAACGAAATAGGTTTAGAAGTAACACAAAATTTAGTACATTCGATGCCTAATCGGTTACAAAGTGTAATAAGACAAAAAAATTACAAACAAAATATTAATTTGAATATAGTATTATAAAATAGTAAGTGTGCCAATATTTTTGTTTCGCCGAAAACTGCTCTGCATGTGTTTGTTATTATTTTTTATTATTACAGGTCTACTTAATCGCTTTGTTTCGCGAGATATTTAAAGTTCAAACCTCAAAATTATATTTTATACCAAAAATAAGGAAGATATTTTGCTTTGTTCACAGTTACATAACATTTTATTTGAAAATACGCTATGTGCCATTACTTTTGCTCGGTACTGTACGTCTTATTGAAGTCTATTCAAAATGGTAAACAAATCATACGTCACGCTTAACAATGTAGCGACTGGATTAAAAATATTTCCCTGTAGTGGATGTGAAACGAAAATATGAAGAGTTTCAAAAAGCAATAGCCGGGCAATTCCAAACATTTTAAAGTGAAAGGAATTAAAATAAATTTTTATAGATGCTTAAAAGTAAAGTAAGCTTCAATAATTTTATAAATTAAAAAAACGAGAATGTGCTTTAAGAATGTCTTAAATCCAAAATGAAAAAAAAATAAATAAAAAAGATTGCCAACAACACGCGGTGTTCCCAAGCGGTCACCCATCCAAGTACTAACCGCGCCCAACGAAGCTTAACT